GTTAATTTCATTTAGCTGTTATCCTGTTATATGTTGCTTGTATTAATTTATAATCCGAATTCTGTTTCATCTGAATTAACAGTAATAGGTTTTAGTTAAGAAGCAACAAGTACAAATGTATTTGATAGATATTTTACGAATAATGTTACTTTCTATTGTACTTATTGAATTATGTGATATAAAGATGCAATCAGGTGACTGAATTCAGTCACTCAAAAAATTATCACCGTACAATGCTATTTTATTTTTTGTAAGTTGATCATATTAATGGGGTCATTAATATGAATATATTCTGTGTTGACGTTTTCATCCATTTTAAATAAAATGCGCATTGCATACAATGTTGAATGTTAAATGGTATTCTATAATGAATAATATATCTACTAAGTTCAACCCTTGAATTTTGACAAATCAGAAAATTGACAAGTTGAAACAGACGGTGTTGTTTATGCATAGTTTAAAGTTGATTGAAGATTAAAGGTAATTAAAGACAATGTTGAGTGTTCAACAGTTGCTCACTGTTGTAGCAATACAATAAGGGACACACGTCCTTTACTCCAACCATGATTCTAATTTGTTCATCCTTAAGCGTCATTATGCTTCTATGATAAGAAGTAATTCTTACAAGAAAATAATCAGCTGGTTCGAAAAAAATGCCTGGCCATTCTCTTGAAACCATGAATAAAGCAATAGCAGAATACATAGGTACCTATCCTATTAAACAAACAAAATATTGCTGATGATATATGCAAGCTGTAATCAATATTAATTCTTTGAAAGAAATTGTTCAGATCACAGGCAAACCTCCAAATGTTATCTTGACTCATTAATTTCTTCATCTATCAATATAATAAAAAAAATGAAAATCTCTTTATTGCTGTCAATGCATATTTTTGTTAATATATTTATTCTAATAATATTTTTTTAAAGTTTTCTTGTCGCTAGATAGTCTTCTTGTCGCTTCTTGTCCCTAAATTTATTCTTCTTGTCGCTTCTTGACGCTTCTTGACGCATCTTGTCGCTTCTTGTCGCTTCTTGACGCTTCTTGTCGCTAATTAGTGAGACCCTAAATCGGAACAACCGTAAACTGAATTATTAGCAGAATATCGTCTGCTGTATAAGTATGTCTGTATTAAGAAATGAGCGAGAGAAGTTTGCAAAGAAAAGACAAATACAGAAAACTAAAAGAATAGAAAACTTGGTGTACAACCGACAGAATTGTTTAACACAAAATGTTGAAGATGAAGATGATATACATGTTGTCCCTGATATTTCTATTGACCATCCTTATGTCAAAGAAACCACAACTCCTGACTATCTTGATCCTGTTTTCGAAAATGAAATTGTTATTGATTTGGCAGAAAAAGATTTAAATGTAGATTTTGACTTTGACTTCACAAACATTCCATCAGATCTTGTTGATTTAAGTTATTGTCATTTTGTAGTAGAACTTGATGTCCTTGCCAAACAATTACAGCAATGTACTAAGTGTTGCATTCCTTTGCACCTGCATAACTCACTTAGAGTCAGACCACTTGGCTTGTCAGGAATTTTGTTTGTTCTGACTTTGACTTCACAAAAATTCCATCAGTTCTTGTTGATTTAAGTTATTGTCATTTTGTAGTAGAACTTCATGTCCTTGCCAAACAATTACAGCAATGCACTAAGTGTTGCATTCCTTTGCACCTGCATAACTCACTTGGAGTCAGACCCCTTGGCTTGTCAGGAATTTTGTTTGTTCAGTGTACTGAATGTGGAAATTTGCTTTAATTATGATTACTATTACTAAAATGTATTTCAGTACATGTATAACCCATTCACAGTGAAAACTCTTTATTCAGAAATGCATACCATTTATAAGTTCTTAAGCTTTTTTGTCACAAAAACATTAGCCTGACTATATTGCAGTTTCTTAAACGTACCATATTGAAAGTACAGTGAAAGCACTTTTTAGCTCACTTGGCTCAATAGGCCAAGTGAGGTTTTCTCATCACTTGGCGTCCGTCGTTGGTCTTCCATAGTCTTCCGTTAACTTTTACGAAAATCTTCTCTGAAACTACTGGGCCGAATTTCATTAAACTTGGCCAGAATTAATATTGGGGTATCTAGTTTTGTGTCAGATTACCCTGCTTGCCAACCAACATGGCTCAAAATAGAACATATGGTTAAAATGCAAGTTTTGTCTATTATTTCGAAAACTGTTATGAATAGAGAAAATCTGACATGAGCAAAAATGTTTAGAATGTTGAGCTCTACCTTTTGTTCTTATTTGTCAAAATTGTCAGACGACTTCTTATAGGAGTTATTGCCCTTACATGACAAATTTTACCATTTTTTAAATTTTTGCAAACTATCTTGAAAATTATAATAGATACAGAGAAATATTAAATTTTAAAAATGAGTAGCATGACAAGTTCTACAAATAAGTTTGCATTGTCGAAATCGTCAGCCGACTCCTTATTAGAGTTATTGCCCTTTGATGATGATTTTTACCATGTTTTTGTGTTACTGCCTTATATCTTAGAAATTATAATAGATAGATAGAAACATAAATAAGCAAAAATAATAGAAGAATAGACAGTTTAAATCACAAAAATTATCAGCAACAGATAAGATCTACTAACAAGTCACATTCTTGATATAGGTAGTATGCTGTCACTTTATAGGAGTGATTGCCCAGCCCCTAAAATGAGGATTTTTTTACCTCTCTTTTGTGTTTTGAGCAAAAACTAAAGAAGATAGAGAGATACTAAAATGAATAAATGATCAGCATTATAAGATCAACAAAACTGAGATTTTTGTCATGAATTCTTTTCTCATCTACAATGTTGGAGAGTGTCCTTTGTTGAATATGCAAATAGACCAAGGTGAGCAACACCCGCTCTTTAGAGCCTCTAGTTTCAATATTGACCACTAAAAGAAGGCTCTTTTTGTCCAAATCTGTACATATTTCTTTTATTACAATGATACTAATGTACATATATATATATATATATATTCAACATTAATGGAGGGTGATATTTACTATTCTTTCAATTAATTTTTTTGAAAATTGAGATTTTATCTGTGCACCCCATGAAAAGCTTGAAAATGCTTATTACACACTATAGGAGTTTAATAAAGATGGAGTAAAGGTCAGTTTTTTTCACTAAAAAAAAATGGAAAAAAAGGTGTTTTCAAGGCTCAGTGTACATTTTGTTATCAAGTTCAGTCATCAGAATGGTCAATATCTACAAAAAAATCTTGAAGATGCATATGGAATTTCAAGCTTCAATATGTTTCATTGCACAAAATTATCTTGAGAAACTTGATAATATATTAAAAATGATATTTTCTTCTTTTTACTCAACAGAAGTCTTATAATTAAGATCTATAAAAGATATAATACTGATACATGTAATAAGCTATATAAATGTAACATTAAAATCATATTTTTTTTATAAAATATGTTTTTGTGCCTGCAACAGAAATTTTCTTACAATCTGACAAAATTTATAGAATGATTTTCTTTCATCAAAAAACAGTTCTGGCCAATCCACTATACATAATTTGTCTCCATAAAATTTTCATGAAAATCATAAGACCAATTTAGGAGTTATTGCCTCTCAAAATGTCATAACTAAATCTGGAGCAGTTCTATTAAGCATACATTAAAAAAAGATCAGCAGGACATATATATCATACCAATAAGGTATCAAGTCTAGGTTTCCAGGTGAGCAATGCATTCTCATGGGAACCTCTAATTATATGTACATGTATATCTTGCAATCATCAAGCCTTTTTCTAATGTTTGCACAAATAAATTATATATTTTTCGACAATAACCAATGTCCATGAATAATGTATAGTGTATTTGTTTAACAAATTAGTGTTTGAAGTAAGTTCCATTTTATGAAATATAGATGCATGTTTTACTTTAAAAAATTCAGGGATGATCCATGCTGGAATTGGGGAAACCCAACTGAACAACCTACTTGCAGCAATGAACATCCATTGTATTAACCCAAAGACCCTAAAGGAAAGAGAAATGGAAATTGGAGAAGTCCTTGAAAGCAATGCAGAGGCCTCAGAAACGAAATGTTTATTAGAGGAAGCCATTGAAACAATAACAATTGATGAAGGTTAGACCACACAAATATATAAAATAAATGCAGCTTTTACTATGGTTTTGTTCTGGTGAGAGTTCCTCCATCATTAAATTTTCATCCATGGAGATCCCTGGCTATACTTACTATGAAAGTTAAAGTTAGAACTGTAATATTATTGAAAATAAAAGGAGAATATATGTTTTTTAATGCATTTTTTTTGACAATAGATAAAATAACATGAATTTACTCGGAAAGCATTTCCTTTTAATATACAACATTCAACTGCGTGGAGGAAAAAAGTGAATAAAAACATTTGTCAGGAGTAACTCATTTTTTTTTTATTATACGGGAGTATTTAAGGATTGTTTTTCACTTATAAACTGGTTACAGTATATGATATAACATACATGTACTTTTACAGCTTACACTTCATTAAACCTCAAACCTTTTTTTTTCTAAAACAAAAGCAACTTTTATTCTATATATATATCACATTTCCTCTGTAAATCTAGCAGTCTGCAACGTTAGCTTCTAATCTGATGCCCCAGACTAGTAAAATTTAATTTTGACTAGTTAGTTCTTGCAAAACTTTGTTTTAAGCCACATAAGAATGTTGAATATTGGTCTTCAGGCTAGAAGTCGGAAAAGATTTTATGGTGCTGACTGTATCTGTCTGACAACATCTTGTGCTGAAGTTAAAAGTTATTAAGGCTCTGTAATGCATCATCAGTTAACTCAATAGGTGACCATTAAATCAACAATTATCATACCTGCAAATCTTTAAATACAATACTGTTATTTCCTAATTAAAGCATTCAAAATGTTCATGTTACTAAATTAAAACTTGACATTATTTCTGAAAACTGCATTTTTAATTTAGGAATTTAAATTGGCTCATTTCTTTTCAGAAAGTCAACAACAAAAGGGTATAAATGCCTCAACAGATACATGCTGGCAGAAGAAGGGTTCAGGAAGAGCATATAACAGTTTATCAGGTTTGTTTTGATCAAACAAATTACTATAGTATGCCTGTAAATACAGTTTGATTCTATGATATACAAAAATATATTCTAAAGGGGGCATGGAATTTCTTTGTCTGTATAATGTTGACTAAAACATCTTTGTCTAGATACACATGAAAATAAATATACGAACGGGTACTGGCCCCTAATAAATTAAGCTCAAAAGGGTATGGATGGGGGTCATTTATTTCTGTATTCTTTAATATTTAGGCCATTTTTTCTCTATTCTTTATTTTAGCACCCCAATATTCTCTATTCTTTATGTTTATGTCCCCACTGTAGCGGAGGGGTCGTTAAGTGCTTCCCTTGTCCGTCCTGTCCGTCCTTTAGTTTGCCTCAACCAAATATTATAAAACTTATACACAATGCTTATTACACTACAAACCAGTAAAAGTCTGAAATGGCCTATATTTGTACTCGACTGTACTGATTTTTACTCGACCAGTCTGAATTGGTCTGAAGTTTACTTGATAATACTCGACTGTAGTCTGAACCATACTTAACAGTCTGAACTTGTACTCGACCTTTACTCGACCAGTACTTAACCATTTTATTTTCGTCTGAACCATGCTCGACCTAGTCTGAACCATGCTCGACCTAGTCTGAACCAGACTTGACCTAGTCTAAACCATACTCGACCTAGTCTGAACCATACTCGACTAAGTCTTAACCAAGCTAGACCTCATTTTTGTATCTATCTATTGTATTTCATCAATTTAGGAACTGTTTTTAACAGCTATTTCCCCTGGCTAGAAATTTGAACAACAATTTGAAATTTAAAATGTATTCAATATGGCATTGAAACCAAAATTTCACAATAAATATAATATAAATTCAACACCATATTTATCAACACTTACATATATATATATCACCTTTAAAATAAAAATAAAACAAGCTGATCAAATAATCTCAAAACTGAATTGTGACTAATATTTTCAATGTTATTCAAATTTTTTGAATGTTTCAGATATATTTTATGATTACTGGACAATTTTCACCATTTACTTAAGCCTTGTATAGATTTATGGTGTCAGTTGAGTTTAGTTAATAATGCAGTGAACATTTTTTTTATTAAAATATATTTAAAATAGTATATAAAGCAACTTAATAAATTTTAAAAATAACACCTTATTTTGTAAAACCAAGAATTTAATATAATCATGATAATAGAACTTCCATAGCAGTCCTTGATAACCATTTAAAAAAGGAAATGTGTTCCAAAGTTGCAGAAAAAATTTATTTCTATTAAATTTAAATAACTTTTGTCAAAATTAAAGACATGGCATAAGAAGCACTTTAATAAGGTTTATTTACCTCAGTACATGTGTGTTTTACAGGTAAAAAGACAGCCCTTTTTTTCTTAAACTCGTGTATTACTTATCTAGTGAAATCAAAATGCCTTGCGATTTAAGTTTTACAGGATATGGCAATTTTTAATGAATGTTAATTAGAAATTAATACTCTCTGACCAGGTGTGATCTTTTTAATGAGTTTGCCCCAAGCAGGAGGTATTACTTTATACTTTACCACTAATCAGAAGAAAAATTTTATCTATTTCTTAATTTTTTTTTATCCATTTTTGATATATATTATATATAATGTATCCCAAATTATAATAAGAATAGATATATTTCTAATATAAGGTTAAACAGTTTCAGTGATTTTTTGGCTGTTGTTGCCTCATTAAAAAGATAATTATATAACTATTGTATGTAACAATGAAACCTATATAGTTTTTCTTTAGGAATTTAGGAAAATGAAGTTTAAAAAAAACAAAAAAAAACATGCCAAACAAGAAGCACCTAAATAAGGTTTTATTACCCTCAGTAAAGGTGTGGTTTTTAGTTAAAAGAAAATCTTTTTTTTTAACAAAACTCTAAAACTTTAAAATTAATATAATTAAATTATTATATAAGATAATTTAATTTAACTATCTCTATTTGATAAATCTGAAAATCATGTACATGATGTAAGGATGTAAAAATATGTTTTTATATATATCTTAATTTTATTGTGGCTGTTGTCATGTCAGAAAAAAAGAAATTAATTTTAACAGCTAAAATTAAAAAAAGTATAGGTTTTTTGGTCAAGCATGGTTCAGACTGGTCGAGTATTGTTCAGACCTATGGTCGAGTATGGTTTAGACTGAAAAAATTGGTCGAGTACAGGTCAAGAATGGGTTAAGACTGTTTCAGACTGGTCGAGTAATAGTTCAGACTATTTTCAATGGCAAAGATAAGGGTCAAGTACAAATCAGTACGGTCGAGTATGGTTAAGACTGGGGTCGAGTAATGTCGAGTAAAATTCAGACCAATTCAGACTGGTCGAGTAAAAATCAGTACAGTCGAGTACAGATATAGGCCATTTCAGACTTTTACTGGTTTGTAGTGTTACCACGAAACACAGATTAAGTTCGAATTTGGGTAGCATCACTTTTACAATTCACGAATTATGCCCCTTTTATAAATATTAAAATTGCTGAATTTTTATATTCAGTTCTCCAACTTCAGTTTGCCTCAACCAAAAGTCATGAAACTTATACACAAATTCTTATAATAACAAAACCTTAACTACATGAATCATGCATCTGTATGTGGAAGTTGACTCGTGCATACATGTATATACAAGTTGAGATATCCATTTACATGTATTTTGCCTTATTTTTCTCTATTCTGCAAATTTTGCCCATCATTCTCCATTCTTTAAACTCCATTCTGACCCTCATTCAAAATGACTAGCTAGCAAGCCTTTTTTTTGGCTTCATTCACATTTGATTCAGGAACTATAATTCATATTCAAACAAATATTCTCAAATGACAGATAGTTGGACTTTTGTACTTTTTTGTACTAGCTACATCAAGTGAACATGGTTTGTCCAGTTACCTCCTTCTACAGTTTTAGAACAACAGCTTTAGGATTTTAAAAGTTGTTTGTATACATGATCATGAAAATGAAGGATGTGCATAGGATTTTGATTTTCATCAAATATGTGATAAAGAGAGGCATATATTAATGCCCCTGATTTGGATTTCTTATGGTAAGGCCCTGTGCATCATTTGTTTCCTATTACAGAAAACAATTCATTAAAGAAACAAATTTTTAAAAAAGAAATGAAAAGTTCTGCATCATTATTTATCAAAATCTGTGAATACTCATGCATGAGGCAGATAAACTCGGGCATCAATGTCATCATCCATATTTTGTTTTTCATATGACTGCAAAATTTATACAATCATATAATGTTATGGTGATATCTGTGTCGTCTTCCGAAGAAATTTGAGTTTCTCCTTACTGATTTTAACAATTTGATATGGTCCCACTTCTTTGTTACAGTCCCGTACGAAATAAGTAGTAGGATTCCACCTAGACACTAGTAGGAATGTAGTAGGAATCCACCTAGAATCAAAGATTCTATATAGAAAGTAGGTGGACATGGAAAATGAACAAAATTCTGACTGGATTTTTTATCTTCTCCACTTGCAAAATCCTACCATCTAGCTGGAATTTTAAAAGTTTGTATGGATTTTTTCTGTTTTGAAAATCTTAAGTGGGAATTTGGACAGAAAATATGATAAGATTATTCATTTTCCTACTACAAGATTCCTACCAGAATTAATTTATTCCTACTAGAAAATCTTTCTACATGGAATCTTTTTAATTATCTTAAACTGGATTCTTGTTTGCTAATGACACAAATTTTGCTGTGTTAAATGCAAACAAGTTCCAGTTCACAAATTCAAAAGTTGAAGGGTAGAAGAATGAAAAGTTGTGTTGGAACACAATATGCTGCAAGGGTTAAACAACTACAATATTGAAATAGGAGAAAATATGGCTCATGTAGATTGAAGGTAAATTTTATACTTTTCAGATGAAATTTTTTATCTGTTTGCCAATATATTTAGTATTCAGTTAATTCAACAAATTGCATAATTTTACTTATTAATTTTTCATAATTTTTAATTTCAACTTAGAATCAACATTTTTACCCATCTACATATATGTTTGGATATATCACAGCTTCCTCATACATTTCAATAGTCAACTTTTTTTAAATGAATATATTCCATGCATTTTCTTTGTTTTTTGTTTTGTTGAGATTCAAACTTAAATGATTGACCCAGTTGTGTATTTGTGAATATACACTTACATTTTGTTTATTTTTAGATTCCTACTAGAAAATATTTTTTTCTATGTGGAATTTTGAAAAACTCCTGCCAGGTTTTCTAGTAGGAATTTTATTTTCCCGCCAAATTAGTCCTGCTTATTTAAATATTCCTGGTAGGAATATACAATATTCCTATTAAGAAATTCCTGCTAATTTAAATATTTCGGCTATTTTCCGTGTGGATTCCTACTACTGTCTGACTAGAATATCACTCTTTTCTGGTAGGAATTCAATGCAATATTCCTACTATATTCCGTGTACATTCTGTGTGGGATATTTCATACAGGGTCAAGTGACTTTGATTATTTACATATATCAGCAACTGCTATTTTGATTTCAGGAGTGGCATCACTAATCGGGCAAAAGACTGGAAAAGTATTGCATCATACCATGAGATCTGGGGATTGTAGAGTATGTACCATTGCTAATAGAAAAGGAGAAGTTCCAAGAAAACACAAGTGTACTAAAAACTGGACTGGATCAGCAAAAGCTATGGAGCCTGACATGGTTGTCCAGATGATCAGAGATTTAAATGAACAAAATGTCCCAATATCTGAACTTGCTGGGGATGATGATTCTACTGGATACAATAGAGCCATGAAAGAAATGCCAGATTTACAAATGGTTAAAACCAGTGATCGTAACCATGTAACCAAAAATATTGTTAATAAACTGTATAGCTTGAAGCCAAAACATAAGGAATTATCTGTGATGGTGATTAATGCTATTACCAGAAAATTTTATATGTTGGACCAAAACAAAGGAAACCAAGCTGGAATAGAAAATGGATTAAGGGCTTCAATTGATCACATTTTTGGTGAACATGCACACTGTATGCAAAGTTGGTGTGGCTATTTAAAAGACAAAAGCACCTATAAACATTCTAGTCTTCCTCATGGAAAAGACTTAAAATCTTTAGACCTGAAGTCCGATCTAGAAAAATTGTTCCTGGACAAATTGGTGCCAAACTCAAAGAAACTGGCAAATCTAGCAAGCTCACAAGCTAATGAGAGTTTGAATATGACCATAGCTACTAAAGCACCAAAATACAAACATTACTCGGCCTCATCCAGCTTAAGCTACAGAGTGAGTTCAGCGGTACTGCAGATAAATGAAGGCTATGGCTATGTGTCTGAGGTTAGTGTAAAATAAGGTTTATATTATGTACGAAAGCAAATTTGGTGTAAATGTTAACAAAACAGCAACACAGAAAATGACACATATATATACATATATACCTAACTATAAGACCTTCAACAATGAAAAAGTCTCTACAAGATGTGTATAGCAAGCTGTTAATCACTAAGATTCTTAAAAAAATGTGAATGATTTAAAGAAAACCAAAGATCTTCAATAACAATTAAATTACCAAAAAGACAATTAGACATGAAAACACAAAATTAACAGGCAAGGTTTCCAAATAAGTGTAAATTCATAATACATAGTTTTTACCTCCCTGCTTTCAAATTAAAGCAGTGATGGTATGATGCTAAGAATGCCTACTCCTCTGTCTATTCTATAATTACTAATATGCTGTAGTTGTATCATATCAGACTGGCTTATCCCCTAAATGAAGAAGAAAATAACTTCCAAGAATTCTGGAATGGAAGTCAGAGAAGGAAAAACTTACGAAAGTGAAATAGGTGATTATTTTTTATACTGAGTTTTTTTCTTTGTATCATCTACCAGAGAACAAGTACATGTAAATTTACACATACATGTACATTGTCTTTCTTCTCATAACATTGTTTGGATGCAATTTTGCTAAATTGGACTTGCTTTTACTAATAGATAGTGTAATATATGTTTTGAGTTCTTTCACTTACATTATTATATTCATAAGCATGATAAGATCTGATCCTACATTATTTAGTAGAGACATTTATTAATTTATTTGAAAAATTCTTTAACAATAAAAAAAAAAAGTATCGGTTAGCGTTTTCTGTGGTAAAAATTCAGTAGAACCTGACTGTTGCTATTCCTCACCATCAAATGGTTAGAAAATGTTCACATGGCAATATTGTGTTATTTCATAATACAACTGTCTTTTGACTTTATTGGATAAAATGTTCAAATTTATGAAACCATAATAAAAGTTAAGAAACTGCAGGTAAAATTTGCATGTGTAAGTATCTCTGATGTCATCAATCATACAATTCCATGTCATGTTATCGTTTGATAAATTTTAATCTTCATGCATACAATTTTTGTACATGTACTAGAAATTGAACATCCAGATCAAGAAGAAATTCCTGAAGTTATGGAGATTGGCGAAGTTGACAAAGAATCAATGACATTTGCACCTTTGTTGGTGTATGACTTAGAAACCACAGGACTTAGTAAGTTTTAACTTTCTTTTTTTATGACCATAGAATGAATAGAAAAAGGCTAAAATATAGGTTGTTGGATGGTAGTCCTGTATTGTATTGCTGTAAAAGTAATTGTATGTCCATCTCAAATTGAAGATATTTAATGACCTGGACCTTATTGTTAGGAATTTGAGACCCAATTGATTGCAAGATTCTAAATTTCAATGTTGACTGAATGTACGCTGACATATGCCCATATAATTTTATATACCATATACAGTCGACTCTCGTTATCTCGAAGTCAGCCGAACCAGAGAAATATTTTGAGATACCCGTAGTTCGACTCAAACGAAAACCGGAAGTTTGACAGACAAAGGGACACAACTCATATTTAGCTTGGTAAAGCTAAAATAAATCCGGATGAATATGGGTAGGGGATCGATATTCTGGTCTAAGATCGATGTATCTGTATGTTATGGTCTTTTATTATTAAAATAACATTTTATGTATTCTTCTCTTATTTATTTCTTTGTACAGTTACAATTTTTTCCTGTGGTTTTTAGCCGAGAGAGTAATTTCAAATCGATCTTAGCGTTATTTAAAGTTGACAAAATTGTTCATTCTCGTATACAAGAGATTTTAGAAAATTTAGATTTTTTTTCATTTTCTTTTATTTCAATCTTTTTTTGCAAGAGGAAATACAAAAAGATTAAAGACGCCGATTGAGTAGTTTTGAGTTGATCACCAACGGAAGTCTTAATCCCTACTTTATACACAACCAAGCTCATTAGTGTATGTTTACGGTTATTTGTTTTTAAAACATTTTAAACAATTTTTCATTAACTATAACAATGTATCACGAATTATTTATCATGTTGATCAAAGATAATCTTAGGTAAACACTCGTGGAAAAAGAATGTCAATAATCAATACAGTGGTCAGTGACTGGAAATCTAATTACACGTGTATTGCCAGGTTAACTCTTCAATCCATTTAAATCCCCGAGGTCATGTTTTGACACATGTGTATTACAATGGTTCGAGATAAATAATGAATTTTGAATGCTTTTGATAACCTTGGGACCGTAAATTTAGTTCGAGTCAACCGAAATTTCGACTCATCCAATTTCGACTCATCAGGAGTCGAAATACATATATTTATATGGAACAAAGTTCGGGACCACGAGAAAACTTCGACTCATCCGAAATTTCGAGTCAACCGAGTTCGAGACAACGAGAGTTAACTGTATATTAATGTATGTAAAATTGTTACACATTCCATCACCATTTGTATGATTAGAAAATACTTTCAAGCCTCTGAAACCCTTAGATTGATTTTTTGATACTCTTTTATGCTATTATAATTTCACAATATTATTTTAATACTAAAGCCCAAAAACGCTGGTGATAGTTTGAAAATGAGACACTATACATTTCTTATAGGCAAATACAAAATTGATTTGTACGGGCTTTAAGATTTACCAAATGCACGTTGTTTTTATACTGCATTTAAAATATTTCAAAAATTACACAAATAAAGCAGAAACATGTGTTTCATATATGCATAGTAAATTATGATGCCAACTTCTCTTGCATATAATTGCACAAGCAAAATAACATTGTTATGCAGCAATAATGATTTCAGGGACCGAGACTGTTTTGCTTTTTATAGCTTGAAGGTTGAAGCCAAGGGTGCCAGGAGACTTTAAGCAGTCATTGACTGTATAAAGCAAAAGTTTATCCAACCCCTAAATCAATCCTGTAATAGGACCTATTGCATTATAATTTCTTTTTTCAGGTAGATCATCTGATATTATACAACTTGCAGCTTATTCAAAGGACAGCACTTTTGATACATACATCTTGCCAAGCCAACCAATAGCAAAGGAAGCCACCAACATTACAAAGATCACAGTGTGTGGAAACAATATGCTGTACAATTCAAAACCAGTCAACTTTAAATATCCATATCAAGCTCTTACTGATTTTATTACATTTCTGTCAGAATTTTCATGCAAACCAATTCTTGTTGGTCATAATATAAAAAGATTTGACTGTCATATTTTATACAATGCATTAAGATTTTATAACATGTACTCAGAATTTTGTAGCCATATTATTGGATTTGTGGATAGTTTAGATGTATTTAAACATGTTGTTCCTGGACTAGCTTCTTATAGTCAGATTAGTCTTGTTGACACACTTCTTGATGAAACCTATGCTGCTCATAATGCCCTAGAGGACACTAAATTGTTGTTTAGATTAGTTACTTGTACATCACAAGGAAATGTTATATCTGATAACATCACAGGTTTTATTTTTTCTCCTAACTATCAACATAACTGTCACATTCAGCAAGATAATTTGAAAACTTTTAGTGAGGCTATTAACTGTAAAGCTGTATCTAAAGCAACAGCCTTGAAAGCTGCACATTCAAATTTAAGGTTGTCTCATTTAAAGTTGTCCATTGAAAGAAATGGAGTAGATGGATTACGTGCATTGTTGTCAGAACTTACAATTCAAGGAAAAGTGCGTGTTACCAGCTGTAAAAAGGTTATTCAGAAGCTATATGACTTTTTGACCGGTGAAACTTAAGGTGGCTTGGGCGAGTTCCAACTTACACTGATAAAATTCTTTTTTTTATATATTTTTAAATTTTAAGTATTTGGCTTAATAACAATATGTTTGCTCATCCAACATGTCAGTGTTAGGGACATACCAGTCTCTAACCAAAAACATTTTTGCTCATCCAACATGCTGGAGGTAGGGGACATACCAGTCTCAAACCAAAAACTATATATTTGCTCATCCAACATGCCAGTGGTAGGGGACATACCAGTCTCTAACCAAAAACCTTTTTGCTCATCCAACATGCCAGTGGTAGGGGACATACAAGTCTCTAACCAAAAACCTTTTTGCTCATCCAACATGCCAGTGGTAGGGGACATACCAGTCTCTAACCAAAAACAACATTTTTGCTCATCCAACATGTCAGTGGTAGGGGATATACCAGTCTCTAACCAAAAACTATATATTTGCTCATCCAACATGCCAGTGGTAGGGGACATACCAGTCTCTAACCAAAATCATTTTTGCTCATCCAACAGCAAGAGGTAGGGGACATACCAGTCTCTAACCAAAAACTATATATTTGCTCATCCAACATGCCAGTGGTAGGGGACATACCAGTCTCTAACCAAAAACATTTTTGCTCATCCAACATGCCAGAGGTAGGGGACATACCAGTCTCTAATCAAAAACATTTTTGCTCATCCAACATGTCACTGGTAGGGAACATACCAGTCTCTAACCAAAATCATTTTTGCTCATCCAACATGCAAGAGGTAGGGGACATACCAGTCTCAAACCAAAAACTATATATTTGCTCATCCAACATGCCAGTGGTAGAGGACATACCAGTCTCTAACCAAAAACAACATTTTTGCTCATCCAACATGCCAGAGATAGGGGACATACCAGTCTCTAACCAAAAACTATATATTTGCTCATCCAACATGCCAGTGGTAGGGGACATGCCAGTCTCTAACCAAAAAATTTTTTGCTCATCCAACATGCCAGTGGTAGGGGACATACCAGTCTCTAATCAAAAACATTTTTGCTCATCCAACATGTCAGTGGTAGGGAACATACCAGTCTCTAACCATAAACATTTTTGCTCATCAAACATGCCAGAGGTAGGGGACATACCAGTCTCTAACCAAAATCTATATATTTGCTCATGCAACATGCCAGTGGTAGGGGACATACCAGTCTCTAACCAAAAACTATATATTTGCTCATCCAACATGCCAGTGGTAGGGGACATACCAGTCTCTAACCAAAACAATATTTTTCCTCATCGAACATGCCAGAGGTTGGGGACATACCAGTCTCTAACAAAAAACTATATATTTGCTCATCCAACATGCCAGTGGTTGGGGACATGCCAGTCTCTAACCAAAAACAACATGTTTGCTCATCCAACATGCCAGAGGTAGGGTAGATACCAGTCTCTAACCAAAAACTATATATTTGATCATCCAACATGCCAGTGGTAGGGGACATACCAGTCTCTAACCAAAAACATTTTTGCTCATCCAACATGCCAATGGTAGGTGACATACCAGTCTCTAACCAAAAACAATATTTTTGCTCATCCAACATGTCAGTGGTAGGGTACATACCAGTCTCTAACCAAAAACATTTTTGCTCATCCAACATGCCAGTGGTAGGGGACATACCAGTCTCTAACCAAAATCTATATATTTGCTCATCCAACATGCCAGTGGTAGGGGACATACCAGTCTCTTACCAACAAATTTTTGCTCGTCCAACATGCCAGAGGTAGGGGACATACCAGTCTCTTATCAAAAACATTTTTGTTCATCCAACATGTCAGTGGTAGGGAACATACCAGTCTCTTACCATGAACATGTTTGCTCATCCAACATGCCAGTGGTAGGGGACATTCCAGTCTCTTACCAAAAACATTTTTGCTCGTCCAACATGCCAGAGGTTGGGGTCATACCAGTCTCTAACCAAAAACATTTTTGCTCATCCAACATGCCAGAGGTAGGGGACATAGCAGTTTCTAATCAAAAACATTTTTGCTCATCCAACATGTCAGTGGAAGGGAACATACCAGTCTCTAACCATAAACATTTTTGCTCATCCAACATGCCAGTGGTAGGGGACATACCAGTCTCTAACCAAAAAAATTTTTGCTCATCCAACATGCCAGTGGTAGGGGACATACCAGTCTCTAATCAAAAAATTTTTTGCTCATCCAACATGTCAGTGGTAGGGAACATACCAGTTTCTAACCATAAACATTTTTGCTCATCCAACATACCAGAGGTAGGGGACATACCAGTCTAACCAAAACAATATTTTTCCTCATCGAACATGCCAGAGGTTGGGGACATACCAGTCTCTAACAAAAAACTATATATTTGCTCATCCAACATGCCAGTGGTTGGGGACATGCCAGTCTCTAACCAAAAACAACATGTTTGCTCATCCAACATGCCAGAGGTAGGATAGATACCAGTCTCTAACCAAAAACTATATATTTGCTCATCCAACATGCCAGTGGTAGGGGACATACCAGTCTCTAACCAAAAATTTTTTTACTCATCCAACATGCCAATGGTAGGTGACATACCAGTCTCTAACCAAAAACAACATTTTTGCTCATCCAACATGTCAGTGGTAGGGTACATACCAGTCTCTAACCAGACACATTTTTGCTCATCCAACATGCCAGTGGTAGGGGACATACCAGTCTCTTACCAAAATCTATATATTAGTTCATCCAACATGCCAGAAATAGGGGACATACCAGTCTTTAACCAAAAACTATATATTTGCTCATCCAACATGCCAGTGGAAGGGGACATACCGGTTTCTAACCAAAAACATTTTTGCTCATCCAACATGCCAGAGGTAGGGGACATACCAGTCTCTAACCAAAAAATATATATTTGCTCATCCAACATGCCAGTGGTAGGGAACATACCAGTCTCTAACCAAAACATTTTTGCTCATCCAACATGCCAGAGGTAGGGGACATAGCAGTTTCTAATCAAAAACATTTTTGCTCATCCAACATGTCAGTGGTAGGGGATATACCAGTCTCTAACAATAAACATTTTTGCTCATCCAACATGCCAGACGTACGGGACATACCAGTCTCTAACCAAAAACATTTTTGCTCATCCAACATGCCAGTGGTAGGGGACATACCAGTCTCTAACCAAAAACTATATATTTGCTTATCCAACATGCCAGTGGTAGGGGACATACCAGTCTCTAACCAAAAACATTTTTGCTCATCCAACATGCCAGAGGTAGGGGACATAGCAGTTTCTAATCAAAAACATTTTTGCTCATCCAACATGTCAGTGGTAGGGGATATACCAGTCTCTAACCATAAACATTTTTGCTCATCCAACATGCCAGACGTACGGGACATACCAGTCTCTAACCAAAAACATTTTTGCTCATCCAACATGCCAGTGGTAGGGGACATACCAGTCTCTAACCAAAAACCATATATTTGCTTATCCAACATGCCAGTGGTAGGGGACATACCAGTCTCTAACCAAAAACATTTTTGCTCATCGAACATGCAAGAGGTAGGGGACATACCAGTCTCTAACCAAAAACTATATATTTGCTCATCCAACATGCCAGAGGTAGGTTACATACCAGTTCTAACCAAAAACAAAAGTTTTGCTTATCAAAGATGTCAGTGGTAGGGTACATACCAGTCTCTAACCAAAAACATTTTTGCTCATTCAACATGCCAGAGGTAGGGGACATGCCAGTCTTTAACCAAAAACATTTTTGCTCATCCAACATGCCAGAGGTAGGGGACATACCAGTCTCTAACCAAAAACTATATATTTGCCCATCCAAGATGCTAGTGGTAGGAGACATACCAGTCTCTAACCAAAAATATTTTTGCTCATCCAACATGCCAGAAGTAGGGGACATACCAGTCTCTAACCAAAAACTATATATTTGCTCATCCAACATGCCAGTGGTAGGGGAATACCAGTCTCTAACCAAAAACAACATTTTTGCTCATCCAAATTGCCAGAGGTAGGAGACATACCAGTCTCTAACCAAAAACTATATATTTGCTCTTCCAACATGCCAGTGGTAGGGGACATACCAGTCTCTAACAAAAACATTTTTGCTCATCCAACATGCCAGAGGTAGGGGACATACCAGTCTTTAACCAAAAACTATATATTTGCTCATCCAACATGCCAGTGGTAGGGAACATACCAGTCTCTAACCAAAAACATTTTTGCTCATCCAACATACCAGAGGTAAGGGACATACCAGTCTCTAATCAAAAACATTTTTGCTCATCCAACATGTCAGTGGTAGGGAACATAGCAGTCTCTAACCATAAACATTTTTGCTCATCCCAACATGCCAGAGGTAGAAGACATACCAGTCTCTAACCAAAATCTATATATTTGCTCATCCAACATGCCAGTGGTAGAGGACATACCAGTCTTTAACCAAAAACATTTTTGCTCATCCAACATGCCAGAGGTAGGGGACATACCAGTCTCTAACC